CGGCGGATGAGAAGAAGAAGAAAAAGAAGAAGGGCGCCGCCTTGATGTCTCAAGAAGAAAAGGCCAGTTCGAGTGTGTCGTGGTCAGTCTACGCTGCCTACGTTAGGGCATCTGGTTCAATTTTGAACGCTCCGTTGGTGCTATTCCTCCTTATTATCTCTCAGGGGGCCAATATCGTGACAAGCCTTTGGTTGTCATATTGGACTTCGGACAAGTTCAACCTCTCGACGGGTGTATACATCGCGATCTACGCAGCACTTGGTGTTGTGCAGGCTCTCCTCATGTTCGCCTTCTCTGTGGTCTTGTCCATTCTGGGAACAAAATCGAGTAAAGTCATGCTTAGAATCGCTGTAACTCGCGTTCTACGTGCACCCATGTCCTTCTTTGATACGACGCCCCTTGGGCGCATCACGAACCGCTTTTCACGGGACGTTGATGTTATGGACAACAATCTTTCGGACGCACTTCGCATGTTTCTCTTGACCATGGGTATGATCACATCTGTGTTCATCCTCATTATTGCCTTCTACTACTATTTTGTTATCGCCTTGGTCCCTCTGTATGTTGCATTCGTTACAGCAGCGATGTACTACCGTGCTTCGGCACGAGAGGTCAAGCGCTTCGAATCCGTCCTCAGATCGCATGTCTTTGCCAAGTTCGGCGAGGGCCTCACAGGTGTCGCGTCAATTCGAGCCTACGGACTGCAGGATCGCTTTGTTAATGAACTGCGTGAATCTATTGACAACATGAACGGCGCCTACTACATTACCTTCGCTAATCAGCGATGGCTCTCAATGCGAATCGATCTCATTGGTGTTCTTCTTGTCTTTGTGACAGCCATCCTCGTTGTTACGTCCCGTTTCTCGATCAACCCTTCCACTGGCGGCCTTGTTCTGAGTTACATCCTCTCAATTGTTGGTATGATGCAATTTTCTGTCCGTCAACTTGCTGAAGTTGAGAATGCTATGAATGCCGTGGAGAGGCTTTACTACTATGGTACCGAACTTGAGGAGGAGGCTCCTTCACATACAGTCGAAGTCCGGAAAACGTGGCCCGAGAAGGGTGAGATTGTCTTTGATAATGTCGAGATGCGATATCGTGCTGGTCTCCCACTTGTCCTTTCAGGATTGACGATGCATGTCAAAGGCGGCGAGCGCATTGGTATTGTCGGGCGTACTGGCGCTGGAAAGAGTTCTATCATGAGCACTTTGTTCCGTCTGGTTGAGATCTCTGGTGGTAAGATTACCATCGATGGCCTCGATATTTCCACCCTTGGACTTCACGATCTCCGATCACGACTCGCAATTATCCCACAGGATCCCACTCTCTTCCGAGGGACTGTCCGCAGCAACCTCGATCCTTTCCATGAACACACTGATCTCGCACTCTGGTCTGCTCTTCGCCAAGCAGATCTTGTTCCTGCCAACGCTGCATCGCCCGAAGAAGCGCGCCGTACAAATGACCCCTCACGCATACATCTAGACACCCCCGTCGAGGAAGACGGCCTCAACTTCTCTCTCGGCCAAAGGCAGCTCATGGCACTCGCGCGAGCTCTTGTCCGAGGCGCCCAGATCATCGTTTGTGATGAAGCCACTTCCTCGGTGGATATGGAGACAGACGATAAGATCCAGGCTACCATGGCAGTTGGTTTCCGCGGCAAAACGCTTCTGTGCATCGCTCATCGACTGCGAACCATCATTGGCTACGATCGTATCTGTGTCATGGATGCAGGGCGAATCGCTGAGCTGGATACGCCGATGGAACTGTGGAAAAGAGGTGGTATCTTCCGCAGTATGTGTGATCGCAGTGGTATCAGGGTTGAGGATATACATGGTGCAAAAGAAGAGATGGGTGTGGTGACAGGAGAGAGCAGTCAGCAGTGAGATTACTGATAGCACATAACCATGAAAATGGCGTTCAAGCATATAAATTTAATACAATCAATCATGTACCAAAAGTCTAATAGCACCTAACGATGCGGCACCTTGGTTTATAAACAAGACTACAGTTATTTCCATATATTCATAAACTTATATGTATTATGTTTATAATTTCTAAACTTATAATTATTTTACTCAAATTTTAATTAAAAAAATGCAGGTAAGCTCTGCATGCTAAGTGAGATAGCGTAAGGCGTTGTTGTTTGGAGTTTTGACACCTAATTGCAGCATGCCGCATAGAGATATCTAGGACAACATGCCAAACACTTGATGCACTGAACGGCTCTTGATATATGTAAAAGTATATATTCTTTTTAGCTCGCAAAACGCGGAACGCCTGGCATAACATATGACGCTTCAGAAATCTTCTAGTCTAGCCACTCTTTTATGGGCTCTGGCACTTCGCCTCAGAAACACCATCTCGTGTCGTCAGCTGGCCTCGCTATATGTACTTCTTGCAACGAGCAACATCCCACAGCTCAGTCCTCGATGCCGTTCCATGACTTCTCATCCTCAGACCGATTTGCAGTCTCCGACTTTGGCGTCTCTGACTTGGGTTCCTTCACAGGCTTGGAGTCCTCCTGGGACTCAAGAGCTATCGCCTTTCGGGGCGGCGATTCTGTCTCATCTGGAGAATTTGATCGTCTTCGCTTCTCTCCCTTGTTGTGACTTTGTTGCTTGTCTTGTTTCCATTTAGGTGAGCCACTGCCCTTCGCTTCGTTCCTCTTCTTATTCGACTTGTCGCCAGCGGGGGTTTGTGGTTTGTTCTTGCTCCAACTCTCGAGCATACGAGCCACTTGAGGCCCCCAAACCTCTTCACCTTTGGCTAGATCCTCATATTCGAGACAGTTTTCGTTCCCGACCTCGAAATCACTCTGACGTGTTCGGGCGAGCTCTGCCATAAGGGCAGCTGAATCCAGCTTGGCGCCTAGATCATGACAGAAGCTCCTGACGTAGAATCCAGATGTCACTGTTAACCGCACCTTTACGGCGGGAGGTCCTTGGTCACTCCAAGGGGGAGGTGTGCTTGTATCGGGCAACTCGGGAACCAGGTTCGACCCCTTATTAGAGTATGTCGGCTGTGGTAGCTGTCCAAGAGCGCCAGACATCATGGGAGGCTCTTTGGACTTCCGCGATCGCTTCGATGGTGCATCCTTGATAAGCGCATCCTGGCGCTCTTCAAAACTGCGCTTGAACGACTCGTGCGCCGCTATCGCTTTATCGTCCTGTTGCTTTTCCTCTGGGCTCAACTTCTTGTTGGTCTCCTGTTGCTTCTTAACTCTCCAGACCTGCTCCGCCAGGTTGCGCTCTGCAGCCTCGGCTTCCTCAGTTGGCCAACGGTGGTTGTGCTTCCCAGGCTCGTACCATTCCACTAGCTCGATATCCTTAACCTCGACTTCTCGGCCCTCGATCTGTCGTGGGATGGGCTTGCCTTCGCGCGCATACTCATACAGAGGTTTCCCGTTCATCTTCAACGCAGAGTATAGAGGCGGGATCTGCATCTGACGGCCCCTGAACGTTTCAAGTTCCTTCTCAACTTTTTCGCGAGTGATATGCTCGTATGGTCGCTTGGTAAGAATGCGACCTACTCGATCGTAGGTATCGGTTGCAGCGCCAAATACAACAATGGTCTCGTACGTCTTGGTGCATTCGAGAAACTGAGGAAGAGACTTGGTGGCGGATCCAATGCCCAAGATGAGAACACCTGTAGCAAGAGGATCCAAAGTTCCTCCATGGCCAATCTTAACTTGCGAAGCTTTCTTGATGAGCTTGCGACGGGCGAACTCTTTGCCGGATTCGCTAATACGCTTTGCGACCTCGGAATCGATCAATGGTTTGAAGAAGGTAGAGGGATTGAATGCTTGCTGGCATTCACGAATGACCTGCGCCGAGCTTTGGCCGCAAGGCTTGTTGATGGCTAAAGGCGATCATGTTAGTACCATGATAGAGAGGAGAGCAAAGTTCGCAACGAAACAAAGTCAGCAATTCACCTACCAAAGACGCCTTCTCGGACCTTGTCCGCTGCCATCTTCAAAGTCTTTCGGGGAGGTCGCATAAGCTCTCCAAAGGACTGAATATGGCCAAGAGAAGAGGAGAGAAGGGAGAAAAGTAAAGTGTTGAACTTGAGACCGTGGTGGAGCTTGTTAAGAAGATCCAGCGCCCGCCGCCAAACGCACCACTTACTTTGACCTCAGAGCTCGATTCATTGTCTCTGGCGCAGGAAAAAAAAAGTCTTATCAGCAACATTCCCCGCTAAAAAACTACTTGGAACAATTAGAGTAGTCTAGGCTACAATAAGGTATGCTAAATATGCGAACAATAGAAACAGTAGAAGCTTGTGGCATGCTTTAAGCACAATTGTACAAGCGATTGGTAAGTTTTAGGAGCATTTGGATTTATTTCCCTTAAATCCAAATGACTCTTTCATAGTTTCCAGGCTCACCAAGCACTTGTAATACGAAACGGAAATACACATACTGCTCGAGTAATTATTTCAGTTCAGGACCTGACGAGTCATTATCGGCAATCTCTGATTGGAGCGTAGGCACCTCTACCTTGCGCCGAGGAGCAAGAAAATTTCGGGGCTTAAGCCAGGATGTCAATAATAATTAGCCAAAGGTCTCCAAGATCTCATGCCAAGCTACCCGAATGCTTTTGTCCTTTGGGATCGACGTTCTAAGTTTTCTTACCTCCCCTCCAAGCTTGCCCCTGTAAATTTAGGGAGCCATGAGTGGTCTGCCCCGCCATCTGGCCATTTGAAGCGCGACCGCGTTTCTGTAGGCCTGGTGTAAAGTGACTGAATAAGGCGGTTAGCTCTCAACATCCATCCACTGCACATTCATTGTATTCGCAATCTTTCTGAATCACTTTCACATCACCAACACCTCCCACTCTCGCTACTCCACCAACCGGCGCTTTCGACACAGGTTTAAATCTACCAGCATCTCTCCTCTCCTCCTGCCGAGGCCAACCTCATTTTGTCAACGTCTCAAATCAACAACCAGCAAACGTCCAACGCCCCATTTCGATGAGCACTCTCGAGGCCTGAATATTGCAAGCATGGTCGGGCGCCCCCGTCGGGCGTCTACGTCTAGTGTCGACACGGAAGATGAGAGTCAAAAATCATGGAAGCAGGAGAAATCGGTCCTGCGGTTCGACCCCAGTGGTGTAGACCCAGATACGACCTTCGAGATCAAAGATGCCGTCGTTCTCAACAAAGATGGCCACACTCTCGAAAACGCCCTCGATGTCGCTACTCGCGGTCCCTATATCATCCGCGGACTGCTCCATATTGAGGAGCAGTCGCAGAGAGCACGCCGTTGGTTCTTCCAAACCATCGATTATGATGTAATCAGATCTAACCGTACATCACAGTCATCATGAAAGTGCGTTCTTTGACACCCTTCGAAGTCAGGAAATGCGGTCAATTTTCTATCGGAGAATCTGACAGCGGTTCTCCTGTCATATGGATGCTGGGCACTTGTGGATGGTTCGAATTAAACCCTGCGCCAGCATACCTCCCCATATACAGAAAGATGCAGGAGGCTATAAGACTCTACTATAGGTTAATGGCCATTTACAGGGAGAAGAAACCCAAGAAGGCGAAGAAAAGCAAAAAGGATGCGTTGAAGGACCTCTACCAGGTATTCCATGAGGTACGTATCACGGTCCCTCGTATAGGTGCTTAGCTAAGTATGCAACGATACTGACTCTTTTTTCCAAGTATGCTGCCAGTATCGGAGATGGTTCAACGCTCGAGGAAGTGATTGCAAGATGTGATGATCATGCTTCATTTTTGATTGCTCAATGCACCCAGGACCAGAGCGAGGTCGAGTGGTTCGTGACCCCTTTCTACAGGTGGTTGATAAATAGACATCAAGTGAGTACAAGATCTTTTTGTCAAGTCAACTGAATCTAATCAATCGTTTCAGGATCTTTACTACAAAGAACTTGAGCGATTGAACAATCCTCCACGGCCCCAGAGATCCCCCTCTGTCGAGGCCAGCAACCCCCCTGTCCCACAAAGATTGACCTCACGAACTCGTAATGGTTCTTCGGCCCCGTCGACAGCTCGCGACACAACTCCAGATATTGTTGAACCTGAAGATAGTCCTCCCCGGCGACGATACTCAAGATCGCGGTCCGCTACTTACAGGCTCGAAGATAGTGTTGTTGACTTGGTCAGCTCTACACATATTTCGAGAGACGGATCAACGAGGCCAGTCAGCGTTCATTCTTCAACTAGTATACCAAGTGTCCGTATGAGCGAGGCACCTATTTCGGTAGACGCCAAGGAAGATGCTTTCCGGAGCGTCCTCAATGCCCTCGAGTGGATTCGTGTGGAGATCAGCAACTCCAAGGGCGGTCGTCTAAGCATCTCAGCTGTTGCTAACAAATTCTGGTCAAACTTCAGGTTCCCAAGCTACAAAGGCGATATAAAGCCATCGTATAGGGTGCCCATTCAGGAAGTTCTCCATTACAATGTGCAAGCTCTCCTACAGGTTCTTGACAAGGATAAGTATGGTGGCGAATTCTATTCCTGGCTACAAGAGCTCGCCGAAACGCCATTCAATCCTGTCGCCATTAAGCCATCGGATTTCCCGTTCTACGTTATACGACGTAAGCAATCTAACAATAATATCTCATGCAAATCAACGCCCCCTTTGCAAGCTGGAGCGGCCACAAGGAACCTTGATGAAGGGTTTTCAACTCCTCCCCGCTCTTCGCCTGCAGGTAAGAGCCTTAGGCGGCCAGGTCGTCCATCTGGTGTCAAGTCCAGTCTTCGTCTGGCAACCACTTCTAAAAAGCGGCCTCACTCCGAAGTGGATAGTGACTCTGAGGATGAGGGGTCAGAGCCGAAACGGTCGCATTACTTCTCTGCTGAGGAAGAGACTATGGGTAATAATAGCCATATGAGTCTGTCCGAGGATGAAGACGCTCCAGAAACATCTGAAGGGCCAGTCAAGATTTTTCTAAGAGCAGACAACATCCCTACAACCGTTCCACGCGGCCCTGGTGAGACATGGGTCTGTGAAGAAGAGGATTGTGGATATGTGGTTCGTGGCGGTGATATTCAAAACTGCCGAGACCGTATCAGACGCCATTTTAACGAGCACGAACAGCAAATGGATCGTGTGAACCTCGCCAGGACTGAAGCCACTCGCGGTCATTTGCCTGTAAAGTATGCTTATTTCCCGCCTTTTCTCATTCTCGTTGAGTTACATCCCCCTTGCATTACCCAGCAAAGGCACAGTCCCCCTGTAGACGAAGTTGCTACGGCAGCCTCGACTCCGACTCTCGCAAATAGCCCTGTTGCACCCTGTCTTCAGCCACAAACATCAGAGCAATCTCCCACCAAGGCTCCTGCTCTTGCGACCAGGCGCGATTTCAGGTCCATTGTCGATGGATTTCGAAGGCGTCCCCATCCCGTGTCGGATAACATCGATAAACTGACATTTTGATAATAGTCACCTAATGGATAAGCTCAAAAAGCTGGGTGAGAAGTCCCAGTCCGCCGAACAGCTCATGGTCAACGACATCGTTTTACCCCAGCGCATCAAACGAAACCTACTTGTTTAATGATATCAGATGACACCCCTCGGCTCTCGGGCTAGATCATTCTTTCTGCATCAGCCCTATATTTTGTTTCAAAGGTGATACCCCCAGCAATGGTTCAGCGTCGGCTAGGACGAGACGAGTATTCAATGGTCATGATGAGTATCGCAGTATCTTGGGTGGTGCAAGCCATATAGCTCAAGCATCTCTTACGGATGCTTCCTCAAGAGAGTGAGCTTAAAATGCACGATATTGTAAAACTCAAGTCATGAATTATGTATTAATGATACCAATCCGCTTATACATGTGTATGAGATACACCAGAACGCATAACAACGATCATTGGAACCTTGATACATAGCCCGAAAGTCCTGTGTCGTGAGAACAACCTATGCTTTCAAATTATATAAATTACCTGAATTCCGTACCCTATAGTTTTAGAAATGACACTCCGAGTAAGCTCCATTTTAGCTCCTGTTCGTTTCTATTATACACGCAATCTACCGCTTCACGCTCGAAACTTTGCAGTTCGGTCGCCTAGTTTTCTACTCCATCCGTAGCCATCTTGTCTTTACCCACATTCTTGCTCACCTCGAGAACAAATGCCTCCTCGACAGCACCCATCCTCTTGAAGACACGCAGCCATCGTTGTCCCCATCGTCGGATCATGGCTTCGCGATCGCTTGATCCGTCACCTGCCTCCATCAGCTCATCCTTGCTTCCACCAGCCCAGCTAACGAGAGCATCGTTCATAGCGCGAAAAAGATCCTGAGTCGATTTGATCTCCTTGGTGCGTGTCTCCTCGTCAGTTTCGGGTGAAGCGACAACATCACGGCTGCGACGCGCGACTTTGAAAATCGTATTAAAAACGAGCTCGAAGATGTGAGGTTCAGTGAGACTATCACCGCCATCAGTGCCGTTTGCCGGCGTGCTAGCCACAAGAGCCCAGTCTACCACGGTGAAGGGTGTCAAAATAGAGTAGTTGAGAAGTTTCTCGATGATTGAGAGAGCAACGCCAGGGTGTGCGTGCCAGTAACTCATGACGGCAGAGATGATTTGAGCGCGCGCCGCCTCGGAGGAATTACCGGCTTCAAGTAATCGACCTTTGGTCCGGTCGATACAGGCAAGGACGTGGCTCAAAGACTTGGAACCAACCCAGCAAACGGCGGTCATAAAGACATCTGTGCTGGCAACGATAGGGTCCAATGATTGCTCTGAAGCTTGAGTCTGAATGCTCTCGAAGAGAGGCTGGAACTCCTCATCTGGAGCTTTGCGTCTCAGGAGACTGGCGATTTCCTGGCCCTCTTTAGAGAACGGTGTTTCTGAAGCATTTGTCAGTAAGTTGTGCTGGGGAATAGAACCGGATACATACCAGGATTTTGGAACTTGAAGTCGGGAACATCTTTCTCCTTCTCAGGGCCAACCAGGGGTAGATAGGGTTCAGGAAGGGTCTTCTGAATTCTTTGGGCGAAACTGAGTCTCACCTCCTTATCAAGGGCACCCTTCAAGAACCACTTGCTGGGATGGGCATCAGGCAGTTGGGCATCATCCACCCATTCGGCCCACTTCCAGGTGAAGCCAAAGTTACTGAGATGGTGGGAAAACCAATCCATGAACCGATAGCTCAGCTCCAGGTCCATCTGAGGGCTGTTCCGGTAGAGGTATCTTATAGCCCTACCAAGACTAGGGGCAATAGCGGCTGGTGCCAATTTGCAGGCCTCAGTGAGGACTGAGTGGTAGTACACAAGCTTTCGCTCGGGTGTAGGCAGTTGGAACAACTGCGAGAACACCGTATCGACGGCAACATCTTCTGGCTTCCATGTGTTCTTCCCATCGGGAAAGTTCTTCAATTCATCGAAAGGGGTGGCACGCTTAACAAAAGTGCCGTCGGCGAAATAGCAATCCAGGTCCATCAAATAGCGAGCCGTCACATTACGGTTGAAGTCCAGAATGTTGATTGTGTCGAGGAGGCCATCGCGAATAAGGGACGCAGCGATGTCGGTCACAGCTGGGACAGAAGGTATCTCCTGATGAGAGTAGACTGAGAAGTAGATTTCAGGGAATAGAGGTCGAGGCCCTGCAATGACAGTCGCGGGGATGGTGATAGTTGGAAGCGCGTGTTTAGGCGCATTCGAGAGTTTGTCTTGAGCCTCGATATCTTCCAGTGGCATCTCCCAAGGTCGTGGCAAGCATGACAGTTCCCAGTTCTTGGCTGCTTCAGACTGGAGCTGCTGTTGAAGGAGCATACAAACACTAAGCGACGTGCCAGGACTCTCTTCTTTGCCCTCGGGGTGGTAAGGATCGACAAGTGCCTGGAGGGCATGAGGTTCCGAAGCAATAATGTCTGTCTTCTCCATCAATTCCGCGGCCTTTTGCTGAAATTGTCCCGGGGCGGACACCATGATGTAAGGGATGGTAAGGAGAATTATCTTGACTATTTCGGTACCAATAGTCTACCAGAAGTCAGTGAACAAATTCATATTGTCACATTGTTGAACTCACGTCGTCCGAACTGGCCGTTTGGAGGTCCGCAGCTCGACTGAAGAGCTCCTCCAGGATGGGAAAGAGGCCATCTCCCTCCATCAAAGACTGCAGGCAGGCCAAAAACTTGAGCAATAACTTCACATCACGCCATTCGCCTTGGGCGATCTTGTCTGCTGTGGTTTGTCCAATGCGAGCGAGGATCTCGTCAACGAACTCAGGCTTCAGGGTATTGATGATGTGAACAACGGCGGCAACGAAAGGCGTCTTGAGAGGCTGCTCGAGCAGAAGTTGCGTCACCAGGTCGAGAAATGTCTTGCGAAGATTTTCGTCGTCATGATTTTCGGCCACCATATGTGCAATGGATTGAACTTCTTCGGCCCATCGGCGCAAAGGAGAGTCTGCGATGCTGAGAAGCTGTCGTCGGACGCGCACAGGAAGAGGTGCCGAGTCAACTCGCCTTCTCTGGTTTCGGCGATCGTAATGGTCGTCATCGTCTTAGCAAAATACATTAGCAGGTGCATTAAAGAGAACGCGACAGCTTCGCGTAGCTTGGTTCGGTTTGAGCTCAGTGCAACACACCTCGGTATCTTCGCTTGCGGTAACCGCCTGGTCGTCTATCGTAGTCGGCCATGATGCGCTTCTCGTATCTGTAAACGTAGCTGTTTGTCGAATCTCAATGGTGGCTCGTACTGATGATAAGTGAAGGTTTGTGAGGTCGAAATGCGAGGCTGCGTCACTGCTAAAAGTTTGGGGGAAGAACATCCACTAGGGACATTAAGTAGAGTGATATTGGTTCGAATACCTTAGTAGCTGCCCTGAGGTGCATGAACTAGCGTCGGATTGGAGCATTACGGTACGAAGCGAAAAGTATCGCGAGGCTAACACGCTAACACCTGAGCTTAGTTTGGATGCCTGAGGCAAGAATATGCAGCCGTTCCTGAGTTCCTCCCACCACAGCATTACTATGTATTATTCTAGATCAACAAATAAGGGATCAAATGAGACCCATTTGCGGTAAAGCGAGGCTTCCAAAGCATGCTGCAGTTTAAAGTCTACATCATGATTTCGAGCTTGATATATAATAATAGGCTCAAGACTCTCATCTTTTAATTCTCGATATTGGTGATCACTCAAAGCAAAAGGACCTCCAAAGAGTACCACGTAGAGTCAGAAAAACGTGAATTTTATCAACTTGCGCGTTTGAAGTCTATACATAAAAGCTGTATGCTTTCCAGAGACGTCAAACCCTGAGCTCCCAACGTGCTTCGATGCGTCACGTCATTCATTCTTCTGCCTTTTATTTGTGATTCATAAGCAGTCCCTTATTCTTTATATCGTCTTGGACCATTGACGACTAGACCAAATAATGCCTAACTCCTCCACGTCTTCGGGAAAGCGAGAGTAAAATGCCACAGGGCCGTCCATGGCCAGCTTCAATTGATAACTTCGTTGCAGCATCGAGAACAATATCGGGTGCCGGGTTATGTTCACCGCAGGCCATACCAGGCCAAACCTTTTGAATCACTCAGGCGTCTCCAACCAATACCAGGATCGGAACCCTCCAGACAACCATGGCAAAGCCAGAACGCGGTACTAAAAGAAGAATTCAACAAATGTCATCATCGCCATTCGCAAAGCCAACCATAGCCGAATAATTGGGTTCCTCCCTCGAGACGCATACAATGAAAAAAAGAGCACCGATCATCATCCTTATACATCGAAACGTGGTCTAAAAACGTGATTCCCTGTGATGTGCATCAATAGGGTCATCCCTCGTCGTGACTAGCCTTAAGGCAAAACTGAGAGCGGGTTCATATAAAGGGCACGCACAACGCCCAATCCCCTCCCTGCCGGGAAAGACTCCAACGCTCGCCAGAACACACATGCCTTCTCATCTGGCCCTCGACGCCTATACACCGTGCCTTGTATCAAAGACCGACGCTATTAGCTTCAGAACCATGTAGCGCCTGCCCGCCATCTGACCCGGCCTTAGCCTGGGCCATTGCTCCCAATCACTTTTACTCAGCTCGGTACTGGGAGTGGACGAGGCAGGTCTCTTCCACAGCCGCGGAGAGCCTGAGAAGGGTGTAAGCACATGCAAACTACCCTTCGCCTCGACGCGAGGCCGGCTCAATCGAGTTTCGCCATCATCTCCTGCTCCGTCAAGGGTGTGAAGTGGTCGATATCAAGGCCTTGAGATGCCAACACGGGTCGAATGTGTGCTGGGACAAGTTTTTGGTTCAGGCTGGGGGCGATCGAGAGTTCTGATACTTTGTTAGCCACATTACTGTTGCAGAGCTCTGAGGAATCTCATCATACCATGACGTGTGAAATCGAAAAGCGCAGGGAGTTCACGAAGCTGGCCAGTACCGTGTCGCGAATCAGGAAGCTTCGTGTTGGGGTCCCGAAGCTCGTCAAAGAAAGGGTGGACCATAGCATCGATAGCTGACTGTCGCTCGGTGGGGGTATACTCAAGGAGGCGGGCGATGAGGTCAATAGCATTAGCATCCGCCTTTCGGAAGACCTTGTTAAATGGATGA